TGAGTTTATATCGTGTTCCGATATTCTAATGAATTTTATATTAATTTCGTTTAATTGTAGGAATAATCATAAGTCGATTATATTTAATATGAAAAATGTGAAAGATATATATATATATATATATACACTATATGTAGTATTATTATTTTATTAGATACAATTAAAATGAGATGTTTAATTAAATATAATTTAAATGTCGTGATACGTATCAATCATATCATTTAATTATTTTGATTTATTTACTGACTCAAATTAAGCATATAATTATGTAACTATATAACTGCACGTGTACCAATATATATATCATGCAACTTCTCTAATCTTTTAATTTAATTACTCGAATTTCTATAAAGATTTAATAAAGAAACGAACACAATTTTCTTAAACAAATGTTTAATTAATAATTTTGTAATACAGACGTGTCATTCTTTTTTCTTATTTTTTTTTTTTAGATTCTTATCAGATGATTACAGGATTTCATAAAATAATCTTTACGCCGAACCGAACTTTGATTTATTTCTCTATCTTTTCCTTTTCCTTTCCTTCTTTTTCTTTTTTCTTGTTCTTTTTATAAACGTCAAACAACACAAGAGTAAAGTTCGCAAGAGCGTGGTTAAACTCGGCCGGGTAAAAGAAAATAAAAGAGGACCCGACTTAAGGGGTATCTATATTTAACAAGAGAGTGAAAGTAACACGAACCTGTAATTTACAACGTTGCGAGACCGCAGCTTCGACGGCTGCTTTTCTTTTTTTCTTTTTCTCTTCTTCTTACTTCTTTTTTTTTCACCTTTTTCGTGGTTTTTTTCTCTCTCTCTCTCTCTCTTTCTCTCTTATCGTGCGGTATAGTTAAATCAATGAAGAAGACAAGGACAAAGAATATACGTTAATTAATGCACCGTTTGCATTGTCGGTTGTCACGTCACAACCACCGTTGTTCCTGAGAAACTTTTTAATTCGTTCGAGCACCTTACACCACCCCCGGCCCCTTCTCCTCATCCTCAATCTCGACTTGAAAAGCTTTTTTGGTCAAAGATCATCGAAAGCGAAATTGTTTCGAGGGTTGGGAAGGAAAAAGAAAAAAGAATTTATTTTGAGAATAATTTTTAATCGATCTCCCCCTGCTGCTCGCCCCCCCCTGCCCTGCCCTTATGCACGAGCACGATATTCGTGCTATTTGTTTTTTTTTCTTCTTTTTAATTTATTACAATTTGTTTTGTTGCTTTATAAAATATTAGTCGTTTTGTTCTCCCCCCACACACACGTCGAGGAGAAATTTTTGGTTTTAAAAATGGGTAATAAAGGAGATGAAAAAAGAATGGGAGAACAATTTAAAAGCACGCGGGGGGTAATTGTAGGAAGAATATAAAACGAAAACAAAAGGATAGATTATAATTCGAAGATGCATTTATTTCATTTAATTAATTTTATATTAGCGGATTATTGCAAAAGATCAAACCCCCCCCCTCCCTTAATACGTAGGTAACAATAATTATATTAATTAAAATAATGAAAAATCCTTTCCGTGGAATAATCTTAAGAAAAATTTTCCAAGTATTACAAAAAAAGGGAATGATGGAATGTGTGAAAAAAAGGAAATAAAAAATGGCAAAGAAGAGAGAGAGAGAGAGAGTGAGAGAGAATGGTTGAAGCTTAGCCAAATCTTTGCAGTGTTTGTATATGTGTATTGCATAGAGAAGAGCTTTGTTTTCGTACGAAGCTTTTTCCCGTATAAGCGGATCTTTCTTTTTTATTATTTTTTATGCACAAACACACACACACACGCACGTAAACATAAGCGTACGTGCGTCATACACGGCTTGTAGGAAAATATAAACTCAAAATAAGATAATAGAAAATAATAAGAATAAATGTATATAGAAATTTGAAATTCTAAACGCGCGCATTTTGATAAGGATAACAAAGTTTTGATCTTTAATTTGATCGTAGAAAATTATAAAACACACAAGATTATTATTATTATTATTATTATTATTATTATTATTAATATTATAAGAATGCGCGTGTAATTATAAATTAGAATAATAATTGAATAGATAAAATATATCATTGGTAAACTGTTCGTCGATAAATTTTAGTAGATGCAACAACGATGACAGACGAGTAGAAGGGTTGCTTGACAACGCGTTCATCCTGTTGACGGGTCATTATGTTCTAACGTGATTATGTCAGTCAAATGTCACTAGGATAGATAACGATTAGTTAAGATATGTGTAGACTCGCAAAATGCCATGTTAATCTGCGATTATCATCTTACTTAAAGTTATCCAACTTTTTAATTTTTATTCTAATTTTTTTGATCTCATCAAAGTAATCTATTTTTTCGTAGATAAAACTAATTCATTTAAATTGGGGAAAAATAATAATCTTACACGATTAATCCGTTTTTTTTTTCTTTTTAACAATGTAATAATGAATTTATAAAATCAAAACAATGATATTATAATTATCGTTGAAATTTATTTGTTGTAGAGAAAACAAATTCATTTAAATTGGAGAAAAAAAATAATCTTACACGATTGATCCGTTCTTTTCTTCATTAACAACGTAATAATGAATTTATAATCAACAATGATATTATAATTATCGTTGAAATAAATTGTATTGATTGTATAAAAAAGAAAAGAAATTGATATTTGTTTAATCCATTGAGTGTTGAAGTGTTTTACAAGGAAGGAATAATTTATTATTAATACAACTGCTTTTCTTTTCCGTTAATTGATATCATTAATCACACACCCACACACACACACACAATATCTAATAATAAATAATATTTAATAATTAAACTTTTTGTTTCAATCTTATAATATAATTTTCACGTGATACCTGAGACAATACAATAATTAATACGTAAACCAATATTATATTATTTTACACGTATATGAGTCGATAAATCACACTTGGAAACTTTTACCAAACGCATATATGCGTCTATGAAAGTAGTCAAAATAGGATTAAAAAGATAATCGATCTACGATACACGCGTCGGGTGTACAAAAAATGTTAATTGATTTTAAGGATTGTAATAGAAATATAGAAAAAAATAATGAAGAAAAAAAAAAAGAAAATAGATTTCCAATAAGGAGAAACGATACTATTCTTACCTGCAATACCAGCATCAGCAGCATCAGCATCAGCAGCAGTAGTAATAGCAGCTTTTAATCGGACCGAAGGAAAGGGTGCTAATTTTTTTACAACTTTCCACGGTGAAAGCTTCTTCTAACACACAGAAAAAGAAAAAAAGAAAGAAAGAAAGAGAGGGGGAACTTTAAAGTGTGCTTTAACGAACCCCAGTGCAAAATCCTTGCTTCCTCTTTTCGAGAAAGAAAAAGTGGGAAAAAAAAGCAAGAAAGGAAGAAAGGAAGAAAGGAAGAAAGAAAGAAAGCGTCGATGGGAAACTAAAAATTTTCGTCGTCGAGTAGAATACCAGTGTGTTGTCCCTCCTCTTCCTCCTCTTTCTCCACCTTCTTCCACCCCTTTTAAACTCCTTTCCTTTTCACGATGCTTTTCGCTTTCTTTTTTCTTCTCTCGGGAAAACGAGCGGATTTTCTTTCCCTTTCTTTCTCTTTCTCTTTCTCTTTCTCTTTGCTCTCGCTTTTGTTTCAAGGATAAAGGAACGATCCCCGTACTTTTTAAGCCTGACTACCTGGCCGATGTAATTGCCCGTCCCCATCCTGGAGATCATAAAATTTGAAAGTAACTGGCCGCTTCAAAGAACACACTTTAACATGACTTCGGTGTGAAATTATTAGAACCTTTTCCTTTTTCTTTTCTTATAATTCTTCAATTCCTTTTTTTATATATATATAATGCTTTATTTATGGTGCAGGTTATGGGTAGATAATAGGTAGAATTGTTTCTCTGTAATAACAAAGATTTTATTTTATTTTGAAGAAAATAATAATGTAACAACTTAGACTAATTATTTATCCTACCTGTAATAACAAAGAAACAACATTCAATGCTAATATCCACACCGTTGTTTCTTGATTAATTTTCCTACTTATATCTCTTAGTCTCTGTATCTTTTCACTCCTGCTTTCTTTGTATCACTGACGTCACCTGTTTTATTCCTTAACCTATCTTAATACAGAGATCTAATTTAACTACCTATTTACGCGCTAAATTCAATATAGCTAAAACTACTGTCCTTACATATATATATATATATATATATATAGGATTTTTCTTTATCGTCAATTTTTTTATAACGAAAAAATATTTGGAAATTAAACGTAATACGAAAAAGTTTACGATAAAGTTAATACTTTATCTTATTTTAGAAGATTGAAATCGTTAAGAAGGGTAATGACAAAATTCGTTCTCTCTCATTATTCTATTATATAGATATATTTTTTTTTTATTATTATATTAGTATATTCCATCGTTCTTGGAGAAATTCAAGCGAATTGCTTTCTAGAACCTGCGTCATATAAGTAGTAATATATATGCAGATGAAGGGTGGTCTCACCCCCTTGTATGCGGCTCTATTATTAAGTAGTATAAAAAAAAAAAAAGAAAAGAAAGAAAATAAAAAAAAAGAAAAGGTAGTAGTAGTAGTTGGTAGGTAGTATTAGTAGTAGTAATAGAGTGTGTGTATGAGAGTATATATAATATGTGTATACGTGCGTGAGCTCGTGTTCTCTTGGTAACTCATTTTCGAATCACTTTGCGTGATGCAAACTCCTACTACTCTGTAGAACTTTCTCTTCCACCTTTTTCCCCACTTCCCTTCACTCTCCTCCCTTCCTTCCTTTCCCCCTCATTTCCATCATTATATATTATCATTATATTTTTATCTAATGAAATTTATATTTTATATTCATACGAGAAAAAATCACATTTACGTGATTCAATATATTTTGTATTTAACTTGTATCATTTTTATATTTCATATGTATATATTTATATATATTTATTTAATTGTATTTTTTGTTTCAGGATTATTTGAGACGGATGGACTGTTAATACCTGGAACTATGTGCGATCACGAGTTTGTCAGTTCGCAATTAACACCTCAATACGGACGATTCTATTCGCCACGTTACCCATCATCTTATCCGAAAAACATTAGATGCTCTTATCTATTTCGAGCTAGGTAAATGATCCCCATTTTAATCTAGAAATAAAATAATATTAGGTGTACAAATAAGTTTCCGCCGTTTTAATGTAGATAGCGCGGCGCGGAGTTTCCGTTAACTTT